CATTTTTTACTGGCCTGGACAGCAGTGGGGAACTCCTATTTATAACTTAAATCGCAGTGCGAAAATGGCCTTCTCAAGCAGAAAATGGGTTTTGTGGAGAATCTCCATCCTCTGTCTCTTGAACAGTTGCACTTTTGCTTTGTTAAATTGTTTTCAGAGCGACCCTGATTTTATAGATATCTTATAAGTGCCAAGCCACTCGTCCCTACCAGTAAAATATTGTACCGATTGCCTTGTTTGGGTGTTAAAACTGGCCACCTTGGTAGGGTCTGAAATCCGCTACAGAAAGACTTAGGATACGATATTTCTCTAACGACAACAATTCAAACTGACATTCGCATTGCCGCCATTGTCTTCGAAAAATCGCTCCCCACTCCTGATTTCTTCCAGAAGAGTGTCTTAACCGCCTAGTCTAGCTTAATGATGCAGGCCTAGGGGCTTCTGTAGCAGAAAATGACTCGAAAAAACACTTATAAACGCTTTTTTGGCGAATTTGAGACCGTGCGCTGGCTAATCTAGCAAGCAATCTCAAATTAGCCGTGCGTTGCAGAAAGCCACGTTCCCTAGGGAATATGAATCCATGATAATTTGATTGACAGCACCTTTTATGGAGCTCGAATGTTTTTTTAATCTCTTGAATGTAAAAACGGCCCGAACAGATGGATTTGTTTTTAACTATTCCCAAACRTTRTGCAATAGTTTGAAGTTAATGATRATATGAGGGAAGGGGATCATGGGTAGGACATAATGTTCGGAATACACAACGTAATGTGATTGGCTACCAGATTTATAATTTAGAATGTGATTGGCTACACTTCAACATTGATGAAGAACACAAACCAAGAAAGTAACAGCATTTTACTACATGTCTCCTGCATAGCAGGGCACATGTGAAAAATCAATATTGAAAATAATAGTAAAATTAATCCAAAATAGGTCCTAGTGACCTTGTCACACTAATACTGCAGGTAGCTTGCTATAATTACTATGTACTATTTGAAGCAGAACAGTCATTATTTTGCTGAAGGATCGATTCATGATTTTTCGTAATCCTAACCCTGATATACTGTGAATTACTATGTAATATTGAATTTTTTTCAATTAACATTTTTCAGGTGGAAGAGATTTGAAAGGAACCAAATCCAAGCCAAAGGTTTGTAAAGGAATGATGAACGATATTCTGCTTGATAATTTAACCCTTTGATACCAGAGCATTATCATGGTTCAAATTCCAAGTTTTGTAAATCACAAGATCTGACTTCAAAAACTGCTCAAAAAAGAAAAAAATAAGTAAATAACTATCTAGCAGACTCAATCGTAGAATAGGAAATTAATGCAGTCACCAATATACCCTATTTGATCAAAAAAGGCAACTGTGCCAATGTGTATGCACTAAACATGTTTTTTTTTACTGGCATGGTGGACAGAAGTTAAATTGCAGTACCGAAATTGTCTTGTCAAGTAAAAAATCCATCTCAGTGTCTTGTTGCACTTTTACTTTGTTAAATCTCCCCACACCTGATTTCTTCCARAAGAGTGTCTTAACCGCTTAAGTCTAGCTTATGATGCAGGCCTAGGGGCTTCTGTCAATGTTTGGTCACCTCGCCCCATTGCCATCTCGCCCCCACTATGCCATCTCGCCCCACCATCTCGCCCCTATTGATATCACTGTCTATGTCATTTAGCCCCCATGAAGTCTTGAAGTTTAACTTTGTTTAACTGTTGAAATTTAGGCGAAAGAAGATTGATGCACGTTCATGGATAGCGCTTGTATCCGTCCACTCAAGCCGAGATAATTCCTCTTGCTTGGCGATGTTGGTATAGAATGCACATACGCTGGGTCAAGAATAGCTTATYGCTTTTGTTGCCAGTAATTCTGATAATAATAACATGACTGTCTGGCGTGCCGTGTTGTAGGGCTTGATCATGGCCTGGAAACCAGCGAAAAACTCAGGAATGTCGAGCGTGACTTCATCAGACTGTTACTTGACATACCTGGAATGTGATCATGCAGCCAGTCGATCTGCCTCTTTTTATGGGACTGAGGATACGCCTCGAGACTTTCATGAACTTCGTTTTGATGTTGAAGCTGTCTTGTTTGTAAAATTTTGAGTTCAAGTTCTAGTCTCTCCTTCTCTAAACGGGCCAAGGTTAACTGCTTGTCCATTTGATCTGGCGTGGGTGATGCGTCCGATGGCGGGGAAACAGGCGATCTTCTCGGCTCGTGAGCTAGAGTTGGAGATTGCCTATCGGTTGCTGACTGAGTTGAGCTTAGACCAAGGGTATTGAAATGCCCGTCCAGATCGTAGAGAAAGTCGTCATCTCGTCGAGGCTTAGTTGATCTGGAGGAGTGGCGTGGTGGGTCTGCTTTGGCCTTGATGTTTTGAGGGTGATCGGTTCTTCTGGCAGGAGCGTGCTTGATAGCGAGATTTGCCTTCCCGATGTTGAAAAGATGTGCAAAAGACGATACTAAACTTGCTAGCTAATGCTCTCTAATCGAACAGTAACAGTAATGACACAATCCGTCACACGCTATGACTTAAAAGACTAGATGACGTAATGTGATCGGTATATAATTACTTATTATCACAAAGTGAAATGTCAACTAACGAATATATAATATTGGGGCGAGATGGTGGGGCGAGATGCCATAGTGGGGGCGAGATGGTGGGGCGGGACGGTATAGTTGGAGGCGACATGGCAATGGGGTGAGATGACCGTAATTCAATCTCGCAAGCAGTCTCAAATTTAAAGCTGGGCGTTACAATTTATTGGTGTTTTGGCTACTCCTATTACCAACATCATCAACTCTTCATAGTCATCTGGTGTCTTTCCATCAGTGCTAAAGAAAGGCCTTATTATCCATCATTTGAAGAAACCGAATCTTGATTGTGAGCTGTTTTCGAACTATCGAAAAGTACAGTAACACCTAAAATCTTATTATAACCCTTTGTGGAGCAGTGAGATGTTGATGTGAGCGTACGTGTGAGAGTGGTGTGTACTGGGTGGAGAGTTGAGTGTTTTGGTGTGTGTAGTTTTACGACAAGTGTTAGTCGTACTAACGTGTTATTAACTTAATAAAAGAAACAACTTAAATAAAATACTACATTGGTGGCAGTGGTAAAGAAGAAGAAGATAAAGCAATGGGAGAAGAAAAGAAGACAGGAAAGGAGATAAAAACAGAAGAAATGGCGGGCGAGGAAGGAGCGACAGCATCAGGTAGTTTTATGCTTGAAAATTTTGTAAGTTCAATGACACAAGCGTTGAATGCAAGTGGAAAACAAAGCAATGATCTACCAAAAGTTCCTAGGAGCTAATTCCTTAGGCCATAATTTCAAGTTGTGGTTGTCCCAATTCAACCAATACGCCAAACTTGCATGTATCCCTGTGAGCGAGATGAAAGATTTCATCATGACTCTGCTAGAACACCCAGCTTACAGAGTCGCACAGTTGCTTAGATTGCAGAATGATATTCCTTTCGATGTTTCACTGCCAAGCTAACAGAGAGATTTGATTCAGGGAAAACCGTAGCGGATTATAAGCTGCTTTTGAAAGCCAGAAAGCAAAACAAAGGCGGACGTTTTGACAGCTTCTCGGATGCATTGCTGAAGCTTACCAAAAGCGCCTACCCAAATGCAATTCAGAGATGAGCTAGTGAAAGATTCATTGAGGGGGTCTTTGTGACAGAAGAAATATGAGAAAACACGATATAGAAATGAAAGAAAGTTATATTCATAAATATGAGAAAAACTGTTTTTAAACCAGCCAAATTCCCTTCAAGAGGCAGTGAGAAATGTCTGATCCCTGGAGAGTGCTTGCAACGCATCCCATAATATTAAATCGGYGACACAAAAGAAGATGTCCTGTGATGCAATTAGCGCCGGAAGTGAGAAGAGTACGGAGTTGAAAGAGATAAAAGAGCTTGTAGTTAGCATGAAAAAAAATCGAAGGTCTGGAAGCACGACTAGAAAAGGGACCACAAAAGAAGATGAGTGAAGTAAAGTGCTATGCCTGTCAGAATATGGGTCATTATGCGTCAAATTGCCCAGAGAAGAGAGTGACCTCAGGAATCGAGAAAGGGATTGCCATGGGGCACCCGATCCTATTGAACATTCCAGCCCCAAGTTTTACAGAGGAAAGCCATGAACTACTGTCAATTTGTGGAAATGGAATTTACATTTCTGGTTTAGTTAATCACACTAAGTTACCTATCCTTTTAGACATGGGAGCAACGACAAGTATTATTGATGAAGAAATGTGGAAGAAAAGCGGATGTTATAGCCCTCATAAACTAGAATCTATAGATGCTACTTAAACAGTTGCAAACGGAGAAAAGCTAGTAGTAAAAGGGCGAACAAACGTTAGACTGTGGGTAGGAACTGTCGTGGTGAAGGTTATTTATCATGAAGTAATACTGGGTACAGATTTCTTTGAATCAAATGGGTGCAAAATACTATGACATTGGCACTTTTTGCATAAGGGGCAGTGAGATACCTATCCATTATCAAAAATCAAGCCCTATTGTTTGTTGATTAATGCTAAAAGAGAAGATAGAAATTCAACCTGGAACTGAACTGTCAATCACGGCTCAACTAGAAAAGGGTTTTCAAAGAAATGACGGTTCCCCAGGGATGCTAGAAAAGTTAACAATGTGTACTTGGACGATGGTCCCTATCTAGCTCGAATGCTCGTCATACCCCAAAAAGGGAAAGCCCTAGTTCGGTTGGCTAATTTTACTGATAAATCTATAAAGTTGAAAGCTAATAATTTAAAGTAACTGGCCGATTTTACCCCTTACATCAGAACAGTGGTTCAGTAAGTGTATTTGACGTGCAATGGAGTCCGATCAAGAGAGTGAAAGCTGCAAGCRTGAGGAAAGGTTCAGTGAAATTAATCTTTCAGAAGATGCGCATTAACTTTCCAAAGAACAGAAAATTCAATTTTCTGCTCTTATTGAGGAATTTAGTGATATCATAGCTGAGGAGAATGGCAAACTTGGATTGACRGACTTCATAGAACACTGGACACTAGTAACACTGTGCCTATCAAACAACTGTCCCGTCGTCTACCACCATTTAAGAGAGAGGCAGTAGAGGAACAGTCRGAAGAGTTACTAAAGCAAGGAAGAATAGAAGAGACGAGCAGTCCATGGAGCAGTTCTGTTGTGCTAGCAAGGAAGAAAGACGGAAGTTACAGATTGTGTATTGACTAAGTTGAATTCAGTGACCATAAAAGATGCCCAACCATTACCAAGAACCGATGATATCTTGGGAGTCTTTGGATGGAGCTGTATGGTTCTCTACTTTAGATTTGGGATCAGGATACTGGCAACTCCCGGTAGCGTCTCAAGATCGTGACCAGACCACTTTCGTGACACACAAAGGACAGTTTAATTGGACCTGTATGTCCTTTGGTCTGACCAACGGTCCAGCAACATTTCAGCGTTTGATGAACCTAGTGTTGAAAGGTCTAGTATGGAAAGACTGTCTAGTTTATCTAGACGAAATTATTATTTGGTCTAAGAACTTTGATGAGCATTTAGAACGTCTTTGAGCTGTTTTTGAACGGCTACAACTTGTAAAGGTAAAGTTGAAGAAAAAGAAGTGTCACTTCCTGCAGCAAAGCATACGATTTCTTGGTCACATTGTATCCTCAGAAGGAATCCAGACAGATCTTGAAAAGACTAAAGCAGTACAGGAATGGCCAACACCTAAATATGTAGCTGAAGTAAGAAGTTTCCTGGGTTTAGCATCGTATTATAGAAGATTCATCCAAGCTTTTGCAGTAAAGTCAGAACCATTGCATCGTATGTTGCAAAAGAGTGAAGAATTTGAGTGGACGGAGCAACAAGACAAAGCTTTTGAGCGTGTGATAGCCTATGGAAGTCGTTCTCGTAGACCGCCTGAAYGCTATTACTGTGCAACAAGATTGGAATTAGTGGCACTGGTGGAGTTCATCGATTACTACAGGTAATACTTGCTTGGCAGAAAGTTCAGGGTCAGGACTGACCACCCCGTGTTGCAATGGCTAACATCCTTCAACGAACCACAAGGTCAAGTTGCTAGGTGGCTAGAGAAACTTCAAGAATATGACTTTGAAATCGTTCAACGACCTGGAAGAAATCATGTCAACGCAGACGCTATGTCAAGAAGACCTCGCATAAATCATTGATGATGGAAACTGTCTGTCATGCAGTGATATTGTGCAACCATCAGTATCCTCGACAGTGTCAACTATCACTCTCAACTCAATCAGCAAAGAAAGATGAGAGGGAAAAGGAATCCAATGACAAAGAGTCAGCTGATGTTCTGTGGTCTGTTAATGAATTTGCTGAAGCTCAAATGAAAGATCTGGACATTAGTTGTGTCATTGAGCACCTATCTAAAGGAAAGGACAAACCATCCAACAAGGAGCTACGTACATGACCAAGTCTATTTGGGAAAAATTTTAATTGCTAGAGCTGAAAGATGGAGTGTTGCGCATTCGTCCCACCCCTCATAAGTTACAAGCAAGATTTTGGCATCCTAGTTTGTCAAGTTTAGTGTATGATTATGTGCAATCATGTCTTGTGGACAATGTAAACCACCTCCCAAGAAACCAAAAGCTGAACCGATTTCTATTCCGTCATCACACCCAATKCAAAGAGTGCATATTGACATAATTGGCCCTCTATTATTTATTTATTTTATTTATTTACCAATACAGCCTGCCCCTCACAAACGAGGATTAATGGCTGGGGGGTCAGTATAACAAATTTAGTTTACARGGAGGTGAWTTAMACAKATTAATTTTTCTTTAAAAACAGTCAGTGAGGACAGATTATTGAACATAGAGGCAGGCAGATTGTTCCATTGAATTATTGTTCTTGGAAAAAAAGAYAAGTGTTCAGATGTTGTTGGGGTGCACAAGGGGATGAACGATTCWGCATGAGTGCGCCRAGTCTGTCGAGTTACAGGGCGCAGTAGACCTTTTGTGTCGACAGAAGAAAGGAAACTCCAATATCATGACTGTACAGTGTGCGTACACCAAGTGGGCAGAAGCTTATCCTTTAAGAAAGCAAAGAGCAAGTAACTGTGCAAGAGTACTCATCAATGACTGTTACGGAGTTCCTGATAGTATTCATACAGATCAGGGTACAAACTTTGAGTCAAACCTTTTTCATGAAATGTGTGATGTACTGGAGATAAAGAAGACACAGACAACACCTTACCACCCTGCAGGTAATGGACAAGTTGAAAACTTCAACTGAACATTAAAGAGTCTACTCAAGGTCAGAGTGACAGAGAACACCAACACCTGGGATGAACACCTTGGAGCTTGTTTGATGGTGTACAGCGAGATGCTTGTGCTTTGAAGACAGTACATGGGATCTTTAAGGATGTTGAGTTTACACTGTTGGTCACTCAAATAATTATCTTTGATTATTTCTTTGAAACCCTGATAATGTGTCTGGTTCATACTTTTCTCCATTACTTTTGCGGACACCTATGGAAAACTTTGACAGCAAATTGTGGAGATCGACAAACAGTAAGTTTGCTATATTTGACATTCTCTTTCCTCTTCCTGTATAGAATTGAAYGAAAGTTATAGTGCTTAGAAGGAGGCAATTCCRGGAGAAAGACCCTTAGGAAAAGAATTCGGAAAAATTAATTTCCTACCTCGCTGGGATTTGAACCCACGACCTTCGGATTTGTACTACTGATGCTCTACCAGCTGAGCTACAAGGCCAGACTGGGAGCAGGTCGGGGTGAAATAGATGTTAGGTTGCGGTAATAGAATAATGTAAAGATGAATATGAGGACCCCATGGCACTATGATAGAACAGATATAGAATTGAAAGGAAGTTATAGTGCTTAGAAGGAGGCAATTCCTAAGTGTTTTTCTCCCGGAATTGCCTCCTTCTAAGCACCATCATAGTGCCATGCGCTCCTCATATTCATTCTCTTTCCTAATTGACTTCTTATGTCTTTCAAAAACATTGATATCACTGTGAGTCTTCTTTACTGTATTGGCACTCTTTTGCTGATTAATTAAGTTGTYTATTTGATTTTGAGTATTATTTTTGGCGTTGTTGTTGTTGTCGCCATCATGGTAATGCTCGTAGAAGTCAAACTACGGATATTAAAACTCGCACTTTCTGAATGATACTCTTCTGACACTTTGATCCTGATAAAAGACCATACAATGATCACTTTTTCTTTCATTTTTGGTGCAGTTTCATTCTTATTGCCTTTTTTTCATTAAAACATCCAAATATAAACTACATACCTTCAAATCACTTTGCTGGTCCATGATTTTCGGTGGAATCTTCTATGTCAAATAACCAATCAGAGAACGAAATTTTACCGGAGGGATCATATGCCATATATAATAAAGGATTATTAAAAAAACACATTATTACACAGAATACCAACATGTAAATATTGAACCACTTACATCCATACTACAAGAAACATCCATACAAAAAGTGCAAATAAAGTACAAAATAACTTCCAACATGTCAGTCCTAATCTGGATTTCATAGCTGAAAATCTATGAATGAATGCTATATCATTCATGGCAGCATTATATTTTAATATTAGAATCTACGAACAGCACCACAATCAAAGGATCAAATGCTGACCAATGGTAAGATCTCTTTGTATGACATCTTTTTATGTTATTTGTAGCCAGGTCTGTCTGTTTTGAATGTGTGACGGCATTGTGAAAGTGCAAAAATAAAATGAAAAGATAAACATTTCTTACCTTTCAGAAGGGTGACCAAAAAATATTAATGAAAAGTCTACATGTAACAACTGAAATTCATTTACAATGCCTAAAAATAAGCTTAACCCTTTGTTTTTTAATCATACATTTAATGTTGATTAGATGTTTGTAGGCTTTGAAAATTACAATTGTTTGGTTAATGCAACTAACAAAATATGTGCTTACGCTGATAATTGTGACWAGAATAAGTCGTTCCTACGCACCTTAGAGAGTGATTTCCCAAGACCAATTTTTTATTTTTTTGTAAAGTAATCACTCCGAATTTCATTGCACACTTTAGTTCTCTATTGCTTGAGACAGAGAGTCAGATAGAAGAGACAACAAACCAAGATGGCGGTCAACATGTTTACTAGCTCTGGTAGACCTTCTCAAACTTTCCACAGCAATTTCTGATTGCTTTGCAGGTGGAGATGGTTGATGTACGCGTTGTTGGTTCGTTGTCGAGGTAACAGGTGTATCGACCTCAGGAATTTCCTTTGGTACTGGTGCTGCTGGGTGGTTCTTTGGTGATTGTGTAATTGGTGGTGGAGGTTCCAAATGTCTTTCTCAAGTGAACTCTGTTTCTTCTAACTGTTCCTGTAGATTATTCAACTTCATAAGACCTTTCGTTGAGTCTCCTGGCAGCTTTAACTGCTGGTTCCACCTTACCATTTGCATTTGAATGGTGAGGTTGACGTACAATGTGCAAAATCCCAGTTTGATGCGAAATCAAGAAATTCCTGCGAGGCAAACTGTGGACCATTGTCGCTGATAAGTGTACAGGGAATCCCATTTCTTGCGAAGTGGTGTTTCAGCTTGTGTAATCAACAGAAGTTGAAGTTGACAAAATGTTCTTTGTTCTTTAAGGTGAAGATATCAGCTCCAACCTTTTCCCACGGGTATTCTCCCTCAATGGGCACCAGTGGTTCCTTCTGCTGTGATTTGGTATATGTTTGTCAAGCTTGGCATGAATCTGCTATCTGCCTGATGTCAGATGTCATGCCAGGCCAGAAGAGGCATTCACGTGCTCTTCTAAGCATACTATCACCACCAAGATGTGAGCTGTGAAGCTGCTCCTTAATGGTGTTGCGAAGACTTTCAGGAACTATGACACGTTCCCCTTTGAATATCAATCCKTCATGGACAGTAAGTTCTTCTCTGTAGGAGTAGTAGGGTGTTGCTTGAGTTGGCAAGTTTTCTTTGGTTTCTGGCCATCCCTGTAGAATGACATTCTTGAGGATAACCAGTGTGTTGTCAGCCTTAGTGGCATGTTGCATTTCTTTTTGCTTTTGCTCGCTGATTCTGAGATGACGAACTGCATTGATTCGAGCAAAATAGTCCTTGTGATGAGGATCAAGGGGGAGATATGCCCTCGATAGSATGTCGGCAAGATACATCTCTTTGCCTTTTTTGTAGAAGACTTTGATGTCTTACTGTAGTAGTCTTAGTAGCATTCCCTGGAGGTGTTTCGGTACTTTACATAGTGGCTTCTTGACAATCATTTCCAGTGGCTTGTGATCTGTATGCAAGATTGTCATGCGACCAAAAATGTATTGGTGAAACCTCTTAAGTGAGAATACCATTGCCAAACACTCCTTCTCCATCTGAGCACATCCACACTCAGTGTCAGAGAGTGCTCCACTGGCATAGGCCAGACGATGATTGTCTTAAAACAGGACAGCTCCAAGCCCTGTGCTTGATGCATCACATTGAATGATTAGTTCCTTCGCAGGATCATAATATTACAGTACTGGAGCTGTTGTGACAAGATGCTTGAGTTCAATCATGGCTTTCTCTTGTTCATCAGACCATTCCCATTGTTGACCTTGATGAGTAAGTCGTCTCAGAGGTTCCACGACAGTAGACAATTTGGGTAGAAATTTTGCAAGGTAGGTGACAGTTCCGACGTCGGATTGCTGCAACATCTGTTGGGCTTTCCATTTCCAGTATCACCTCAATCTTCTTTGGATCTGGCTTAAGGCCTTGGTTTGTGACGAGKTGACCAAGAAATTCAACTTCGGTAGTTTTGAACACACTCTTTTCCTTGTTGAGCTTGATGTTCTTCTGTTGGCAGGTTCTTGTCATGAGATTTCTCAGAGTCTACATACACAAGTATGTCGTCAGCGACAGATCACGCCTTGAAGTCCTTCTAGGGACTGATTGAGCTTACGTTGAAATATTTCTGAACTAACGTTAAGACCAAAAGGGAGACATAGCCATCTATATCAGACAAATGGGGCGATAAACGTGGTTAAGTGACTACTTTCTTCATCTAGTAAACAATGCCAGTAATCGTGTGAAAATCGACCTTGCTAAAGAACTTGGCATTTGCTAGCTCAGGTAGGACGTCATCAAGAGTGAGAAGTGGATATCTTTCACGTCGGAGAGATTCGTTCAACGATTGAGGATCTATACAAAGTTGCAATTTGCCATTCTTTTTGGTTTGGATAGACATCTGGGAGCACCAATTGGTTGGACTTGTGACTGGCGTTATGACTTTGCTTCTTGACTAAGTCAGAGAGTTCCTATCAGAGTTTTGGCTTTGTGTTGTCCTTCCAAGGTGGACATTGCTGACATTGCCAGGAAAGCATCCTAGGGTTTTGTCGTCAAAGACAGAGGCATATTTGATGAACAGGTTATCAGCAGTTGGGAATACAGTGTGCAGCTGTTTGAAGATGTCGTAATTTACAGTGATCAGATTCATCGGCTCAGCAGCCTTGCAGCTTATGAGTGGTGTGAAGTCTTTCTCAACGACATTTTCCTAGAAGTACAAGCTGACCTTTGTTGTACATGTGAAGAACATTTGTTGATTTTTCGAGAGACTTTTTAACATACTTGACTGGAATTACATTCACAGTAGCTCCACAGTCTATCTGGAACTTGATATTTTCAGTGTTTTCGAGTTGCATTTCAGCATAGATGGGACCAGATGATACTGAGTTGACAGTTTGAGGAGTTGAGATGGCAGAAATGATTTCTTCATCTGAAGTATCAGAAGTAGCTTTCACACCATGGACTTTCTTCTTTACAACAGGAGGACAGCATTTGCAAAAGTGATTTAGTGCTTTGCATTTATTACATTCTTTGCCCCACGCAGGGCAAAGCTCTTTCTTAGGCTGGTGTTCTTGAGCACAGAACTTGAATTTGATCAGTTTGGGACATGGTTTCCCTCTGAGGTCGAGAGCTAGACATTGACTCGTGTGTTGCTCCTTGTTTAGACTTGTGTTGTATTTTGTTGACTACTGGTGATGAGCCAGCAGTGACTTTGAGTTGAGTTGTTGACATCTCAAAGCTTTTGCAGATATCTAAGCAGGCGTTTAGCGTTAGCTTTCTTTCTTGTAAGAGACGAGTCTTTGTCGTTTCACTGTTGACRCCCAGGACGATCCTGTTGTGAAGAAGAGTGTCTTTGAGACAGTTACAGTAGTTGCAGGTTTTCCTGAGAGACTTGAGTGCGGCTACGTAGTCAGCAATCGATTCATTTTGGACTTGAATTCGTGTGTTGAATTTCTACATGTACACCTTTCGAATGTTTCGTTTGGTTCACCAATTATGTAGTTCTCAAGCTTCCTGATGATGTCTTCAGCTGTATTTGTGTTGTTTAGATCGTATATGTAACAAGCGTTGATTTAAAACTGGCATGTTTATTTATTTCCGGCAATGGCATGTCTTTTTTTACCTATTCAATAGGTAAAGTGTGTCAGGTTACCTATTGAATAGATAAAAAGTATCAATATACCTAGTAGACTAGGTATTATGAACATAGTTCCTATTTGAATAGGTATTACAACCAGAATATCTAGCGTAAATAGGCATTGTATGCCGTTATACCTAGCGTACTAGGTATTGTGTACAAATATACCTAGTGGGTAGGTATTTTCAGAAGGGATAAAACAAAATATTAAATGATGATTGATTGATTGTTTAGCGATTTTCTAGCAAAAAACTAAAATATTTTCAAAAATCAATTACACAGCAATTGTTACCTAATCATACCTTATCTATACACAAAATATGAATTAAGATTTGCCTTGCCAAGAATATTATATGTCTGATTTTGGCACGAAGTGACTCTTAATACTTTCATTGAGTTTTTAAATCGCTTAATATCAATTTTAATCTAGGAAATGAATCACTTATACTGAGCGTTGGTACAAAGAAACCTGTGAGAGTAATAAGAGGGTACAAGCTGAATAGCCCATTTGCTCCTGAAGAAGGGTATAGATATGATGGTAAGCTGCTTTCTTTCACCTCAATATCATAATATAACATTTCATTATTTGGCTTACAAAATTTGTTGTTTGCAAGTAAAGGAATTTTGGAGTTTATTGGTCAGTTGACAATCCATTCAATATATTTAGTTGCTTCCATGTCTCTTCTAGACTGACTTGAATGAGAATGAGAAATTATGAGATGTTTAGTCTGAGCTAATTAGTTTGAATTGAGAGGAAAGACAGGCTATATGCTGCTGTGATCATTATGTTTTATTTCTTAGGCTTTCATTGGACAGCAACATCATAAAGAGAACGAATGAATGATTAACAGTTGTGCAAAAAGATATTATGATTTTAAAACTATAAAGGTGAAACAACTTTATAATACATTAATGTCCAAAACGTCAGTAAGTTGTTTCTGATCACCTACTTTTTTTTCACCTACTTTTTTACAGTGTTAAAATTTACATGACTGTATCTTTTTCCAGAACTGTTTCTTTAGAAGCATCAATGCAGCTCATACTAGTTTAATTACTGCTAGTTTCCTTCACCTGTACATACTAGCTCAGGTTAGAGGCCAGCCAGTAAACTATTTAAACATTGATGACAGTATAAGGTGTGGTTAATGAGTCACTCAGTTCTGTACATTCATCACAGGAGTTATATTTTACGTTTTTGGTTGGAAATGTTTGCAGAGGAGCTTATTTTTATAATACCATGATCACCTCGGATTCCATTGTCTTCCGAGGGGTTTTAAAACCCGAAATTTCCCTCATGAATAATATGAGGGAAATTTAGAAGACAAAGGATTCTTTTGTCTTTTACTAAATTTCCCTCTATTTAATTTATGCAAGGGAAATTTAGTAAAAGACAATACTTCCTTCGGCTCGCCATTGTATTCCCAATACAGATCGGACGCGAATATTGTATATAACTTATGATATCCATCATTGAGCACCTAAAGTTATTATTTCTTAACAATAGCTTAAAGCTAAAATGTGTTGTTTCTTAGTAATAATAGAAATATGCACAGCTCGTTAAGTAATGGCCCAAGTAAGAACTATAGAAGCAAACGGCAAAGGAATGCAAGAAGGTGCTAATTATGTATTGTATAATCCATCCATCCCATTGGTTCAAACAAGAAAATCTGCTATAATTTTACAAGTTAGCGCATTTTCTAATATTTTATTTGATGCCTGATTCCGACATCATGAAAGCTTTCTTTAGCTACAATATTAAGGCAATTCTATGTGGGGAAGATAGCAAATTAGAAGCTTCTTTTGGCTATTGTTTTGAGTGCTTATGATTGGATAAGAGGTTTTAATACAAAAGAAACTTTGTTTCAAAATAGAGTTTATCCACATTTTATTTCAAAAATGTGTTACCCATAGGTTGATATATAATCACTGTGAACACCAAGACATTTGTATGTGGGGAAGTTGCAATGCCGCAGAACAATAGAGAGTTCTACAGTTCTTACGCGCATTGTTACTTAAACGTATTACAAAAGACATTGTTACATCGAATCTGTTCTACAATGGGGTAGCTAGGTAATGAAGCAGTGATATTGTTTTCTTTTCCATGGACCGTTATCACATAATTTTTGCCTTCAGTTAGYGTTCATCATGCACTCAGTGTACAAGCTGGAGAATTATGGCTAACTTTAGAAAACCAAAAGACGAGAACAAAGACGAAAATTGGCTGCAGGATTCTTATAACATCTAATACCAAACATATCATAAAATGGAGTGAATTTTTCACGAGTGGCAACAAGCAATGGAAGAAAATTAACACTGACAGTAACAAACAAGAGCGTTGGGTTTTGCTGTGATATCGATAATGTGCAAAATCTTGACAAGAAGCTGAAGGAAATGACACCAACTACGTTGAACTCTCTAAATATTATTGGTTAACAAAATTCATCGGAGAGTTATTGCCAACAAGAGTGGCGTACAATATTGATCAAAATCTATATTTGTGATTGTTTCTGGCCTTAACAGGCTTCTACAAAACGTAAAGGCAGAAAATTCATTTAATCTCCTCAAAAATGATCGTAAGTAATATATACAATATGAGCGGGCGATCTGTATGAGGATTTAAAACAGCGAGCTGAAAGCGAGCTGTTTTAAATCCTCATACAGATCGCACGCGAATATTGTATATTACTTATGAAACGTTAAGGTAAATTAGCTCAGGTTTTAAAGAAACTTTTGAAAAAAAATTCAATCTGACTGAGAAAATCTGAGTAAAAGTTTATGCAAATGAACAAGAAATCTGTATGTAATATACAACTYTMTTCATGGGCTATGATTTCTATTGTGTTTTGGCTTATGAATATTAATGAGTTTTATAAATGTAAATACGTGCAATTTTGACTATTCATTTTGCTAGATCGATGCCTATCAGCATTTTATATTTTTTTCTATAGCAGGCTAACAGATCTATTAGTATTCTATATAAAAATACAGAATACTAATAGATCTATTAAAAATACAGAATACTAATAGATCTATTTAGTATTCTGTATTTTTATAGAGAATACTAATAGATCTCATTCTCTATTGTTATTATTCATCAACCCCCCCTTTCCCTGCTCTGAATTTAAGCCCTCCCACGCTTTAAGTTTGTATTGGTGAATACAAGGGTAGTCATGCGACTACAATAACGGTCACTGAATGGCTGTGTAGCTTATGAATTATTAATGAATATGATAAATATTACATACAATATACATAATATTGTAATACAATATTACATAATAATACAATACTACATAATATTGTAATACAATATTATATAAACTCAATTCAAAGAAGACATACCGTATTTACCCATGTATAAGCTGCACTTTTTTTCCAAAAAAATCGTTCCCAAATCGTGGGTGCGGCTTATCTACGAGAAGACTTGTAAAAATACCCAATAAAAACTAATTTGCATAAATTAGCATTCATGGTGCTACTTACTGCAGACAGGACATCAGTAATGTGATAAGTTTGTTTTACACGGCGGGAACAGAAATTTTAATCAAAACTTCTCAGTATTACTATACTCCGAAAATCTAGCTCTGAGAAACACAAGTTAATAAATTAAACTGAAAAGTGCGTGGTTATTGAGCCAATTATGAACAGAGAGCATTTTAAATCGTTTTGCGATTTGGTAATGCRATGCTAATTTGCATTGTTCATTTAAGCGACTTTGTCACACTTAAAGTGAAGAATTCAGGGTAAATATTTTGAATACCCGAGAAATAAGCCTAAGAAAGTGTTYTTTATATTAAACAAATACAATCTGTTTTAATATTTTTTTTGAAATACGAAACGGTTTCGGCATGGTCCTTATGTTTAGAAGTTTGGCGGCACAATGAGATTTATATCACTCAAGTTAATTACTAGTTTGTTTTTACCTAAAAACAACTTATCAATCTTAACAATTATATCTCCAAGATCATCATACACCGCACGTTAAATAAACTGATTGTAATTACATACRAAATGCATGGATCGCGGAAATCGAGCAGCGGAACAGCACTTTAAAATCAAAGAAAGCTGTGTTCGCAAGTGGCGATCAAAAAGAGAAAAGTTTATTTTCCGTCTTTTTTACCTCAAAAACRTTCCTAAAACTCGGGGTGCGGCTTATCTACGAGAGCGGCTTATACATGGGTAAATACGGTATATGTATTTTCTGGTAACCATTTCGAGCCCCCTTAATACACCAAAACTCATATAATCAATCTTTAATTTATTGAGCTTCGTTGTCTGTTCTAAACGAAAACCTAGCTCAGCCATGTTGTTTGAGCATTGTATACGAATTTTAATTCTGTGATATAAATATTATCTTTGGTACCCTAAGGGACTACAAAACAAGTGATGAAATAGTACTAACGAAACAATGTTGAATCAATTACACAATAGAAGACAAAGTAACGTATTATTTGAAAAATTGTTTGTGTACAACACGCTAATGAGATAGTTATGCAGTTTGATGTTGTTTACGCTTCCTTGACTATAGAAAACTGGACATGATACCAAAGATGTTTCCTTACTTCCTCACCGATCATAGTATTACAAAGTAATACCATGTCACTTGTGAAGGGCTGCGCCCTTTCTGGGAAATTTAATCACTAATTTCCCTCGTTCCATGTTATTACTTATGATAAATGTGTTTTATATATTGTTTGAATTGCATTGAGGAGCAGAACTAAATACAGATTTTCTTGTGCAAAAGCCATACCAGAAACAAAAGACACCATGAGAAAATGTTGTTGTTCCATTGGACAGCAACATCATCAGAGAGTTGTATAATGCTTTATTAAATTATAGTTTTATTATACAGTCAATTACTTTATTTACAGGGCTTTACACTGTAGAGAAGTACTGGCAAGCAATTGGAGCTAGTGGGTTTAAGGTATACAAATATGCAATGAAAAGATGTAAAGATCAGGCCCCTCCACCTTGGGAAACAGTAAGTTGTCAAAACTGATCTTGCTTGATATGATCATTCTGTACATTCTCCATTGATTTCAGATCAAATCTGCCGGTCCCAATATGCTAGCTCTAAATCTCCTGGATAGCATCATATTTTCACAGAATGATATTATTTACTAACCATCATTGTGGATTTTTATTTTCAAAGAAATCCTTCAATGAATTGAATGTCATGTTTCCTCACTCTGTCGGTACCATATTTTCAATGAAAATTATACTTGCAGGCGTTGCTTATGTATGCATGTGAATGAAAAAAATATAAACTGATTATGCAATGTTTAATCCCATTAGTTGAAAGAGATTATGACATCTTTTGTGACGTCATGAATGATGTCATTCACATAATTGGGGCAATTCTCCATACAAACTTAGATGTTAAACGTAGATATTACAACCGCACTAAGTAATGAGACTAATATTTAAGAAATATAAAACGGTGCGAGTGTCTCTGTCCTCTGATATAAACACGGTGGGAGTTCGAAAAACACGAGAGAAGCAAGCTTAGGAACACGAGCGTAGCGAGTTCGAAAAACACGAGAGAAGCAAGCTTAGGAACACGAGTGTAGCGAGTGTTTCTCTTGCTTCTCGAGTGTCTTTCAACTCCCACTGTGTTTATACCAGAGGACAGAGACACAACCAGCCGTTTTATATATCTTTTTATAAAATTTTTCGAGCGAAAAGAAAATTTTGCTGGTAAGCCATGTCTCTGTCCTGATATAAACACGGTCGTCAGCCAATCAGAGCGCACATTATATATCAAAAATTTTATGATATGTTTTACTTGAATTGACCCTTTTAGCTGGGAAAATAACTCAACAGTTAAAAAATTTAATAATGTAATAGTAAACACATACATGCAGCTGATCTTGAAAAGCTTGTCCACCTATTAAGGCATTTCCAATATTCTAATAGCCATGTGACTCACTTTCCATTCGTGTAAAATGATATAGAATGACAGGTGTTGTGTAGCAGAGAAATTACAAGGCATTTGTATTTTTGTCTTACAGTAAAATCAGTAAGTTATCATTTCCCATCCATGGCTCCTTTTGGACATGCAATCCCCATTTAACTGCATGAATAAAAGATCATTGTTTTGGCTACTTGGGCTATTCAGCTCACCCAGTTCAGTGTTTTGTTCAGGTCAATGATCTTTTATTCATGTGGTAAAGGAACCATGATGGGAAATGATAACTTACTGATTTATACTGTAAGACAAAAATATTATCTAAGAAAATAGATTCTATTTTACCATTCTTCTGTGCTCTAACAGATACACAGATGATGTCAAAATGTGATGAGAACAACAGCCAGGCTACTCAACTTTGTTCTCATCACATTTTAACATCATGTGATTATCTATTGAGTACCCAGTGGCCCTGTCCCTCTTACTAACTATAAACTAATCAGAGGGGGAGAAATTTTTGTGTATTCAAGATTCAAGATTCATGAGATTGTTGAGTACAGACTTTTTTTAATATGAAATCTTTTGGAAAGTATAATCTTCTAAAACAATTTGTCTTTTTAATTTCTAGAATTCCCAAGAAGACAACAATGAAGAGGACTGCACAAATAGTGACTGAAATTACCTCCAAACATTTGTCAAACAAAACTTTGTTACATTGGAAACATTTTGAAACTTGTGCTGAAATATGGTTTAGCACAAGAATTGTTAAGTGAGATATATAATTATTATCATTGCACTGTCCATCTATTATCTTTTATTTCCAGAAAACTGAATGATTTAATTGATCTTTCTGCAAAGCATCGTAAGTTGTTGAAAGTCTTTTCAGAATTCCCCTTGGCTCAAAACAACATGCAAAAATGCAGATTTTGCTTCACTATTTAAGTGCCTTAATTGTCTTAGAATAAAATGAATGGTGGGAGTCTTATAGCATGGAGCCCCCAATCTTGTTTAATAATAGCAAAAAAGTGTTRTATACCATGTTGGCAGATTTTCTTGAGGAATTGTTGTACAGTGAAGAAACAAGTTACTATCTTCAGCATTAGAGTTGTATTATTTTATTAAWAATTGATAGTTCAGATGTGATTCTCCATTTGCTGTTTAATATTACATTTGATTTAGATTTTATCAATTCAATTTTTATTTTTAAGCAAGTTACTTGTTCAGGAAATACTTGTATGAAACTATTGTATAGAAGAACTGAAAATAACAGCTTTGTCATCAATTATTTTCTTAGTTTGTGGATCAATTGATCCATCATTAGGTAAACTAAGGTGACGCAAGTTACTTTTTACAGGTAAAAAAACAAATGCATGATAAAAATGTATGTAAAAGTATGGCATGCCAAAGCATATGCACATGCTAAGATTTTAGTTTCATCCCAGTCAATTTCATAGCTGTTGGTGTCTGACACAAGCAGACTGCAGACTTGCAGACCGCAGACTGCAGACTGTAGACTGCAGACGAAATAATTTATTTGCATTCCACATAGCTGTTACAGTTTGTGAGTTCTGAAAAGATGATATTTCTCTTTTTCCTCATCTGATACAGACTTTCTTTTCTTCTTGTCTCTAGTTGTGGACTATATTTGTTTTTTAACCTCTGCASTCATTTGTATTACCTGACATAATGATTTATACCATCTAAAAGGTCAGAAAATAAATTAATCATTTTGTTGGATGTAACTGAAGCTGTTATTTGAAATTATGAGTATTATATAGAGTACCTTACAAAWTTTTTTCTTGTTTGGATTTGTTTATATATTTCCTTAAGGGCGGCATGGGGAAAAGTTGCGACAAATGTTTGTTATGAGAAAGATCAAATTTAAAATTGTTTGTATGTGATCAGACAAACATGACATTGCTTACATTTGCTATGCTACAACATTAAATAGTTTGGTCAGTTTTTCATGGATTTTAGCATAAATAGCTCTCAGGATGCCCCTCTGGTCTGGTTATGCTGTATTGTGCTCGTAAGAATGTACTCATTCCCGTTTTTATAGATTAGTACCGTTGATGAGATACAGTTGTTTAGTATATAATTGCTTTGGTGCATTATTTTTCTTGTTATGACTCAGATTTAGCTTTCAATAGTCGACCTTCATGGTTACCTGCACCATCCTGAAAGGTAGCYGTGCCTTCACATGGAAGCGAGACAACCGTTGAGCGTGCAATGATAGATACCTGTGAATAATTKTCTGTAGGTGTGAAAGAAAGTTTCTATCATTGCACACTCGATGGTCGTCTCGCTTCGATGCAAAGGCACCGCTACCTTTCAAGATGGAGCAGGTAACYKTGAATTTTAAACTTGATCTTTCTTTGGGCATTGGCATGAATTACCTGTATATTTTAGTTCTATTTTAGTTTTATTTAAATGTGTTTTTAGGTTAATTTTGTGTAATAAACATTGTTACAAGACCACTCCTTGCATCATTAGTCAAATACACTGCTTGCATGGTCCCAACCCGCAGTGTTCGYATTGCCTGCGTTTGATTGCTGCCAGTTACAACAGCAAAGATTCATTTAGTACATCCATTGATTGCCTTGGCAGGGGGCTGCAAAGTGTTGCATATCAAATGAAGTATTCAAGTTATTATAAGATTTTTATTTAGTAAACAATTATTTTGTTGTGATGGGAGCMCCTTAAGGTTTCTTTTTGACATCATCCTACCATTTGTATTCCCATTAATTTATGACCATAACTTATGCTGTATAATGGGATTCCTGTGTAAWCATGTGACTTAGAACACATTTTGTGGGTTTTGTCTCTAGGAAAAGACACTTAGTTTTGTCTCTAGCTAAAGACACTTAAACACATTTGTTCCTGATCTTTTCTCATTGGTATATTTTGATGGGAATTAAAATAATTCGAACCAGGGCTGGCTCATTGGTTGTTGGTTGTCATGGCTTCCTTTTCCCCTTACTCTGGCACGTGACTTTACTCTGCATCGTGTTATAGTTCTGTCTCAGCTTGGGACACTTTAGAGTTTATTATATTACTGTCTTAAATTGTTAAATTAAATTAAATTGTTACAACTGTCTTAAATTATTCTGCAACCTAAATAGAGTGAACACAATCCATGAAGCTTGAATAGTACAAAATAATATTAAATTCTGCTAATTCCTTTGTTTTCTATTGTTAATCAACACTATTTAGTAGTAATTAGTATTATTTTTTCACAGATTTAGTGCGTTCACTGTACCCATATAGCTATTTCAAAAAAGGTTGTCGGATAAAATGGCGAATGTTAATTGTCGGACGGCGATTGCACGACCGAAAGTAGTCATGGGTTTTGGTAGTTGAAAGGCAATAATAACTGATTTATACTGTAAGATAGTCTATGGTAAACATTGGCTCCATTGCGTTTCCATTTCTATGTAAGGTGAATCCAATAAGCGAGATTTTGTTTATCAAAACAATGTAACCATAGTCCCTTTCGGTCGTGCAATCTCATTTCGACAATCACCGTTCGCCGTTCTCCCCGACAACGTTTTTTGAAATAGCTGTATATAACTAATTGGTATTTGGAAAAATAGAAACAAGGGTGAAGATTTTGAATGATGCCAATTTTGGCTTGATTTGCTATACCATCTTCCCAGGGGGGACTCCGGGGTAAAAGTACCAGGGTTGCTCGTCAGAAATTTTCAAAAAGACACCTAAAAGATCCCAGAAGTCTTGAAAAAAGGGTGTTGCTAACTGATTTTTAAGTAACATACGCGCAAAAAGCAGCAGGCAACTTTCTATTGTTCTGCAGCAATTGCAACTTCCCCACATACGAATGTCTTGGTCTTCACACTAATTATATATCAACCTTATGAGTAACACATTTTTAAAATAAAATGTGGATAAACTTTGTTTTGAAACAAAGTTTCTTTTGTATTAAAAGATCTTGTCCTATCATAAGCACTCAAAACAATTACCAAAAGATGCTTCTAATTTGCTATGTTCCCCACATAGAATTGCTATTAATATTAAAGCTAAGGAAAGATTTTATGAAGTCGGAATCAGATATTTAATAAAATATTAAAAAATGTGATTACTTTTGAAATTATGTCAGATTTTAACCAATGGGAGAGATGGATTATACATTACACAATTAGCATGACCTTCATGCATTCCATTGCTGTTTGCTTGTCTGCTTCTTACTCAGACCAT